TTGGTTATTGATATTTATTAATTCTAGCTGGTTTAACGAAATTTTTGAGCTTCTATTTTAATTTTATGGCTAAATTAATAAAAGTAATAATACCTTTAAAAAATTTAAAATACTTTTTAAACTTAAAAATAATTAAAGAATACAATTGTGTCAGTTGAAAATTTTGATATTTTATTTTAAAAATATCCTTAAAACGTTTAAAAATACTTTTAAATTTTTAAAAATTTCTTAATACCTTAAAATTTTAAAAAACTAAAAAAATAAAAAGATATTTAAATCATTTAAAAAAACATGTACTTTTTAATCTTTAACAAATTCATTCTTGAATTTTATCACGTTCTAGAACCTTAATAAACATCCATTTAGTTTTTATTAGTAACAAAAACTTATCAAAACGAAATTTACATTTTTATAATGTAATATTTAAACTTTAAAAAAATCTTAAAAATACCCTTTTAATTTTACCAAAATACCCCCACCGAGGTTCGAAACCCACCGATGAGGAAGATGGCATTTTCGTAAATAGCACGATTTATCCCTCTCAATCCAGTGTCAAGACCGGTCAAACGACCCATCGCCGTGCGTGTTAATATAATAAATCTTGACTTCGTTATATATATATATAAGATAATTGCAAATTCGAATAAATTCGAGCGTTAGGGTTTTTACTTAGCGTCCGCATCCATAGAAATTCCTGGATTCCATCGTCTTAACTCTCTTCTATCAATTCTGTTCACAGGGAAGGTTCTACACAGGGGACGAGCTCGTATCGAATTTGGAAGGTTTGTTCTTTGATTTTGCTCTATGGAAAATTTTGAGATGTTGTATGCGATTCAGGTTGCTAGAATTAGGGTTTCGATTTAGTTGTTATGTGATTGAACTGGGAGAGTGAGGTTCCCGTTGTTGTCATTTTATTCTCGCCTTTTCCGTATTGTCGGCGAGTTTATACATTTTTGGTATCATTTTTGAATACGTGCGTTATTGTTTATCTTCATTCTAGTGTTAACGACATGGATATTTACGCTATTTAAGGATCGGTTTAGTACGTTTCATCGTTCAATTAGTTCTTGGATCGTCACCGAATGTTTTCTTAAGGAGAAAGAAAACTATTTGGTAAGTGGAGTTGAAATGTGATGGTGATTTTATATGGGGTTTTACCTTGATTAAGTTTGAAATAAACTTGCCCCGAGCATAGGATGTATAAAGTTTGAATCTCCATCCACACAGGTTTTTGGACTCAAATTAAAAAGATTTGAAGTTGACTTGCTCGTATTTCTGTACTCATTTACTGAACTTTTAACTGGGCAGGTTCTGGAACATATTGGCATACTGATCAGGGAAAGTACCATGTGTGAAGTACTCTGAATATAGATGTGCTGGGAGGAATGTTATTCTTTCTCACACAAAGTTGTAGTGGTTGCATCCTGTGCAGGAAAAGAATCAAAGAGAGGCCCTTCTGTTTAAGGGGCTAATATGCCATCCTATATGTCAAAACTACGAGCACCGGTTCACTTTCTAGGGTGGGAAGGTGGATTTAAAAGTTCACTGGAGTTTCTTTTTGGGCAACAGAAACTCTTGTGTGGCAGTTCGAGCCTGTTGCACTCAGTACCTTATTCCTCACTCACAGAATTGCATGCACTCTTAAGACCTGGCACTATTTCTGGTGCTAGTTCAGAGCTAGTTAATAGTAGGAGGAATATCTCTGTTCTTGGAGCAATTTCTCGCACATTTTCTATTCCTTCTGTGTCAGGCCCTGCGTTACAGACCTGTGGGTATCACATTGATTGTGCCGTTGCTGAATCAAATCAATATTCCACTCGTAGCAAGTTTCAAGACAAACCAATGGCTGCTTGTGGTTCTAGAGCTGGACTTGGTGAATGTTCTCACGAGAATCTAAGTTTTAGGATTGCACGCACCTCTCCTCCAGCGATCAGTCCCAGTATTTGTTTCAACAATAGAAGCGTTGATTGCTGCCGAAAAGCCAGCATGAGTTTGAAAAATCAGGAGCAGCCTAGCAATAATGTGATATATGGATACTTTACATACAATGTTGCAAAAAGGTTTTGCAGCAGTTACCTACATGCTGGGTTGGGAGCAAGGGATCTTCATAGTTCGTCCACTTCTTCCCTAGCTGCTGGTTCTGCCCCCAATTTGTCATTTGATAATTCTGCACGGGAGGAACAACTTGCCAACTCTACCGATTTATCCGCACAGTATGTTCTCCACCTGATTTCTTGGTTTAAAATGAAAATATTATAGTCTATATGCTTAGTTTAAATTACATCACAACTTCGGTTTAAACTTACCAGATTGAATGTTTTGAATATTATTGTCAATTGAACTTGTTCTTTGGTCGTCCCATTCTTATAGATCCAATTGTTGAGGGTGAAATGTGAATCATAGCCTGTTGTCCGTGCTTAATGAACATTTGTGGTTTTTTCTTTTCCTGTCAAAATGAATCTGTTTTTTTTTTTTTTTTTTTCAATATTCCAATATTGTACCCTATGGCGCTTTGTTGTTTTTGGATCTCATTATGGAACTCTTCAAGATTGCCGGCACAAAGTATGCTGTGATACCGCTCTTCACACTTTTAAGTGACAGTATCAGTTTGAATGCAAGTGTTCTACTTAGCTCTAAATTTCCTACTATATTCTTCTTCACAGAAAGATTCTGAAAGGCAAATCGATGAAACTGGTTTCTGGGTCTTGCTATCTGCCCCACCCTGATAAAGAAGATACTGGTGGAGAGGACGCTCACTTTATTTGTGTGGATGAACAAGCTATAGGGGTGGCTGATGGTGTGGGTGGTTGGGCAGATCTTGGTGTTGATGCTGGACAGTATTCCCGAGAACTCATGTCTAATTCAGTTAATGCAGTTCAAGAGGAGCCCAAGGGCTCAATTGATCCAGCTAGAGTCTTGGAGAAGGCTCACTCGAAAACTAAAGCCAAAGGCTCCTCCACTGCTTGTATCATAGCGCTTACAGAACAAGTATGTTGTTTCACTTGAGACCATCATTCTTTGTAAGTTCAAATATAGGCAAGTTGTTTTAGGTTTTGAAAGTTGGAGTCTGATCTTATTTTATCAAGACCAAACTCTCTGTTTTCAATTTTCAGATCCTTGATTTGGTGTTTCATTATAATTTTTCTTTCTTTGACATAAATAATTTCTGGAGGTTTCTATTTAAGTATAACCTAAGTCGTCCTAGTTTGATCTTTTGGATGGAATATATAACAAGAGAAGAACTCTTTGATGTCTTCTAGAGCTTGCTACAACATTTAAAATTTTCCCCATAGTTTAGTGAGGTGGAGCTTGATACTTCCCTATATAATATAATTATATCTATCAATAATTTTAGCTGGTTTCTGTGCAAGTACTTGCTCATATCTCGTGTAGTTTTTATCTTTATTTTTACTTTTTATTGCAGGGGCTCCATGCAATCAATTTAGGAGACAGTGGATTTATGGTGGTTAGAGACGGATGCACAATATTCAGATCTCCTGTGCAGCAGCATGATTTTAACTTCACCTTTCAATTGGAGAGTGGAAACAATGGTGATTTACCTAGCTCTGGACAGGTCAGTATTCTCATCAGCTTCTCCGTGTCTGTAGTTGTCGTTCCCGTTCCTGGTAATTTTGTTTGTACCTACAGTAGTTGCTTTGTGATTTTTTTCGAACGGGAGAGAGTAGAGTTAGCAACCTCCCAAAATTGAGAGTATTGGAACTTTTTGGCAATAACCTTAACTTGATGATGATGGGATTATCAAAACTGATTCAGGTCTTCTCGGTCCCTGTTGCTCCTGGAGACGTCATAATTGCTGGCACTGATGGACTCTTTGATAACTTGTACAACAACGAGATCACCGCAGTGGTGGTTCATGCCATGAGAGCTGGCTTAGGCTCTCAGGTGACTGCCCAGAAGATAGCTGCTCTTGCACGCCAGCGAGCTCAAGATAAAGACCGACAAACACCTTTCTCCACTGCTGCTCAAGATGCTGGGTTTCGGTACTACGGAGGCAAGCTTGACGACATTACCGTCGTCGTGTCATATGTTGCCAGCTCCAACAACAAGTGAGTGTCCTGAATGTCTTCTCGCATACTTTCATCCCCAAGCTTCTGTATATAATCTTTGCAGCATATAAACATTGACATTGCTTATTGTATCAAAGCATTTCATTGAACTATCTTAACTCTTTGCATGTTGAAGAGTGGATGACTTCTTTTGTAAGTGAAAAAATCAGGGGCGTGAGCCATCCCCAGGTTTGAGCGGTTGTTTCTCTGTTTTCTACTTCCATCTGAATCCTTTCTGTGCTCATCTGATACATTAAGTGAACGAACAAGACCAATGTTAAGGCTTTTTTTTTTTTTGGTTTTTCCATCCCTGTTTTTTTTAGCGAGAAATGGTGTTCTTGTTTGAAATATTATTTTGGTCAAATGGGTAATTGTGTCCTAGCGAATCCAACGGGTGGCTTCGAGCGTGTGGCACACGCCATCGCTAAAATGAATTTTTTTTTTTAATTTTCTAAATATTTCAATGGTTGCAAGCAATGAAATATTTTTTACATAGTGGTATTTAGGAAAATATTGTTCAAAATTTAATTGTGAGGTATAGAAAGATATCTGAAAGTGTAATTTTAGATTGCTTCTAAACCTTTTTTGAACTTTGAATTTAAACACTTTTATTATTATTTGAATATGTTAAATTGAAATAAATAAATAAAAACGGTATTGTCATGTATTTGGAAAGTTCTAAAAGTTGACTTTCTTTCCATTAACCATTTTTTTAATATATAAAAAAACCTCAAACTCCAACGTTGACTTTAAGAAGTAGGGATAGAGAGGGGTTAATCTTTGATAGGTAGCTTTCAAGGAGGGGCATAAATGGAAAAGAAAAAAGAGAGCACACGTTGAGAGGAGTATCCTCAACCAGGCCCAGGCCCAGGCCCAGGCCCAGGCCCATCTCGTCCCATTTTCTTTCCCTTTCTGCACCAAACCAAGACAAAATAGAAGTCATAGTCATACGCCTCGCCTCTCTTCTTTCTCTCTCATTCCAGTTCCGACGACCAAAATTTCTGGTGCTTTAAGGTAACAGAAAACAGTCCCATTTTCTTTATTTATGGAATTGTAACGATCCCTTCCTTCTACTTCAAGGGAATGCCAAATCTCTAATTCCTAAAACATTCTCTGGTTGTTTCCCCTTGAAGTCTATACTCTGCTGCTTCACTCACTCCCCAACTGCGCCTGATTTCTCCATGGCCGGCCGTAAAGACAAAGCTCAGTCTGCCCGCGTCTCTCGAATCGTCATCGCCATCGCAATCGGAGTTCTTGTTGGCTGTCTTTTTGCTTTCTTGTATCCTCATGGACTTTTCGCCTCTGATCTGCCTGTCCAAAACCGTCGCCTCGGCAAATCCGAGTTTCTGGTTTGTTGCTTGTTGCCCTAATTCCTGTTTCTGAATTTCTATACCGATTTGAATTGTCATTTATTTTTTATTTTAGCGATATGAACCCGAATTGGCATGTATTTTGAGGTTTCAAGTGTTTCGGATTGTACTTTATTGTTCTATAATTTATACATCTTAGGGAGGAATTCGATTTTTTTTTTCCTTTTTACTGTTTGTCTTTTCTTCTTGAGCGATGAAATTCATAATCAATTCTTTCGTTAATTATTTTGGCGTTTTTTTAAAGATTTGTGGGTAGTGAGCACTTTGGTAGCTAGATCAATTCTTCTGTTGTTTTCATTTTAGTTTGACTTGTATGTTCATGATTTGGTTTGTGCATTTCTTTTGAATCTATACTTTTTAGACGATGTTAGTTTCAGTTTAATGACCTTAAAAAGTTTTATGTTACATTGGCCTACTAAATTAATTAAAGTATTGAGTACCCAAAGAAAAAAAAAAACCTTCCGGCTTGGATAAATCAAAACATATCTATGTGCCAAAATATCACATTATCTAACGAACTTATCCAGTTGATATCTAGCTTAATTGAGTTTTGATGGAATCGTTGGACTTTTGGAGACTCTGGAGGAAAATTTTCGTATATCCTCAATTTCCTAATGTTTTTTTCTTACACAGGTTCAGTCTTCTTCTCCTTGCGAATCGTCGGAGCGGTTCAAGATGCTTAAAGGCCACGTCGTTTCAATATTAGAGAAGAACTCCCAGTTGGAGAAGCGTATAAAGGATCTAACAGGGGAGCTGAGGATTGTGGAACAAACAAAAGATCATGCTCAGAAGCAATATTTGGCGCTCAGTGAAAATCACAAGGCTGGTCCATTTGGTACTGTCAAAGGTCTTAGAACCAACCCTACCGTAATCCCTGATGAATCTGTAAACCCTCGATTGGCGAAGCTCCTGGAGAAAGTTTCTATCCAGAGGGAGCTGATTGTGACACTTGCGAATTCTAATGTACAACCCATGCTGGAGGTTTGGTTTACGAGTATCCAGAAGGTCGGTATACCGAATTATTTAGTTGTGGCTCTGGATGACCAGACGGAAGAATTCTGCAAATCCCATAATGTGCCTGTCTACACGAGAGATCCAGACAAGAGTGTTGATTTAATCGGAAAGGAAGGAGGCAACCATCAAGTCTCGGCATTGAAGTTTCGGATTTTGAGGGAATTCTTGCAACTTGGATACAGTGTTCTTCTCTCAGACGTCGATATAGTCTACTTACAGAATCCTTTCGATCATCTTTACCGGGATTCAGATGTGGAGTCGATGAGTGATGGTCACAGCAATATGACAGCTTATGGATACAACGATGTATTTGATGAACCTGGCATGGGCTGGGCTAGATATGCACACACTATGAGAATATGGGTTTACAACTCTGGTTTCTTCTACATTAGGCCTACACTGCCTTCGTTTGAGCTTTTGGATCGTGTCGCGACTCGGCTTTCTCAAGAAAAAGCATGGGACCAAGCTGTTTTTAACGAGGAACTCTTTTATCCTTCTCGTCCTGGACGTGATGGACTTCATGCCTCCAAGAGAACCATGGATATGTATCTTTTCATGAACAGTAAGGTACTCTTCAAGACTGTTCGTAAGGACCCGAAACTAAGAAAGTTGAAACCCGTCATTGTTCATATTAATTACCATCCCAACAAGTATCCAAGAATGAAAGCAGTCGTCGAATTCTACGTGAACGGTCAGCAAAATGCTCTGGATTCGTTCCCAGATGGTTCTGAATGATGAACCTCTCTTCCAGCACATCATCACAAAACTAAGTCCCATGAGCAAACATTGCGACCATTGTTTTGCACAATTCAGCTGCTCTACAAGGAAGATTCATTCTATCATCCCTTCAGAAAAGAAAAACACTGCAGATAATTCACTGTTATTCCTTTTTCCAAGGTTTTTGTCGATGTACTTTTGTAAGAACATTTGTAACGATACAGCTAAAGTTGAAAAACTTACCTTCTGCAAAAGGAAATTTCTTGGTTTTTCCAATGTGTGATTAAGACTCTGCTTATGCGTGTAATGTGCCACTGACAATCTCAACTGTTATGACAGCTTGTCTTTCCTAAACTTTGGCTGTCTGTGGGGACTTCTGAATTAATGAACATCACAGAAATTTCAGATTAATTGTCACCAAGGGAATTTTAATTGGCTGATGCGGATGCTCTGCGCAACCTAACTCCAAAAGGCCAGCCTAATGATCCTTATTTAATTGGCTTGGAGATTTTCTCTTATCCCAATTTCTCCAACGGCTTGTGTGGCTCTGTCTTCAACCCCACTTTCTGTCTTCTTCTATGTTGTGTTTTCGTTTTCAATAAGCTCCTCCGCTAAATCCTTGTTCCATTTTTCTTCACCTTCCTTTGCAGCTGTTTCGAGAGATTCTGAGTGAACCCCTGAAAGAAACTCGCGGGTTCTCCGTTCCCGCCATTTGTTAGTTGAAATTGAAGCGGCTGAAGGAAGTTTAGATGGGGCGTTGTTAAAGGGAAAGAAAATGGAGAAATCGTCGCAGAGGGAGAACATCCTTTTGGGTTATTCGCTTCAGAGATCATTCACCAATCATTCTTCATCGCCGAGAGCTCCGAATCGGGACTCCGACGATGTTGATTTTCACGACGTGTTCGGTGGCCCTCCGAGAAGGCGGTCGTCGGCTCATGAAACGCGGTACAGCTTCTCGGAAACGGCGGGTTCCTTCGCATTGAAAGGCGGCGGCGGCGGCGATAACGCACCGCCGGGACGGAGTAGTTCCTGGTCCTGTTTGAATGAGATACCGGTGTTCGGAGAAGACAGTCCGCACGGGCGAAGATTTTCGAGCAATGATTTTTACGATGATATCTTTAAGGGCGATGAATCCGCGACTCCTCCTCGCCGGCATGAACTTGACATTTTCTCTTCGGTTCCTGGTTCGATGGTCTCAAGTCCTGCTAGGCCACTCCCGCCGCCGGCAGAGCCATTCGGAAGTTCTTCCCTCCCAGCAGAATTAAGGTTTTTCTTCCTTTAGCATCCAGTTCTTGATTTAGAAATGGGTTTCACCCCAAAATTTTATTGGCGGATGATTTTCTTAGCTTTGATGAATGTTTCTTTCGTGTGCATTGGGTATTTGTTAATATCTTGCTTCTGGTTCTTCTGGTTTGTGCCAGCCTACCATCTAGATTGGCTAAAGGGACTGATCTTCCAGCGTTGGGATCGAACAATTCGAGCCCGTTACGAAACAAGGTTGTTGTGTCAAATGGAAGCCATACAAATGCTTCTAGGTTCACTCTGTCTAGATTTTCTTCCAGCACTTCGAGCCATCGTTTCGAGGATCTTAAAAGTGATCACAATTTGTTGGATCGGCCTGGCGTTCTGTCATCTGAATTCCAACCTCTTAGCAGCGGCGAGACGCCATCCTTCAGAAAGTCCGATAACGCGTTGAACAGGAACAGTTCAACGAAGGGAGAAGATAGTGTAGAAGATTCAAATGGTGGTGGTCAGTTTCAATTCCATTTCTCAATTTACAAATGGGCAAGCAAAGGGGTGCCTCTAATGATGCCACTGAGAGGAGGGAACGGATCGAGTTTAAGAGAGAAGACTTTGCTTAGGAGAAGCTCAAGCTCGACGAATAGAGTCGTGAAGGAGATGAATGAAAAGCCTGATCGAAGTTTTGAGGAAAAACTTTCATCTGCACCTTCAGCTAACTTGAGCAGACAAAGTTCTCGTAAGGATGTCGACTCTGATAACATCACTCAGCAAGCAATGCTCGAGAATGTTTCGAGTGAAAAAGCAGAGAAAAAGATGAGTTCGACAACAAATGAAGATCGAAAGCATGTGGCTAAATCTCTAAGTTCCTTCCTTCTCTACAGTGATGGCGAACAAAGTATGTCCTGCCACGAGTTTCGTTTATTTCATGTTTGTATTATCTGGTTCTCACAACTAGTTCCGTTTCGTGTAGGTGAAGATGGGATATCGGAAGAGTATCGACAAGGAGACATGACGGCGAAAAGTGACAAGAAATCAGCAAATCTTTCTGAGCTAACTAGTAGCTCAAATAAACCGGACAAACAAACTTCACTGAGAAATTCAAAAGTGAAAAATCCAAGTTTCCTAAGCTCAGACACGGAATCTCGACAAAACATTGACAGAAAGAAAGTTGGTGGAAGAATCTCGGAGTTCGTCAAGATTTTCAACCACGACCCTGCATCGAAATCCCGAGACGTAGGTGATTTGGGAAATGATAGCTCTACAAGGAAGCAGGAAAGTGCTTCAAAAGCTCAAACACAGGCAACTGTCAATAAAATAAGCAAGGAAGAGAAATCCAAGTTGAATCACAATACAGATGCTTTCATCAAGGTAGATGATGTTTCCAAGCAGTCAGTGCATGGTCACTCTATAGCTGCTAGCTACACTAATAGCTCTACTTCTTCGAAAGAGGGTAGTCCAGCACCAAACACTGGTCAGTCCTGCATCTGTGCTATGTTCTTCATATATTTTTTTTCGAGTGCATACTCGATCATCCATTGCATAACATATTTATTTCTCGATATCAGTTCATGTTCATAATGTCTCCAAGTCTACAGTTCCAGATGTGGAGGAGCTGTTCCAAGAGAATTTCTCAGTATGTTTATCCTTAGGAAAATTATGCGTCGGTATGGAAAGTGGTCGAACTCTTTGTATCGAAAGCTAATGATCTAATGAGCTAATTGGGTTGGTTCGTGAATAGGTAAAAGAGTTACCACAAGACTATGAGGATTTGAGAGAAGCGGATAATGTTCGTGAAGAATTACAAGTAATGCATCTCCCATTAATTACATGTATTGTGGTTATTGCAGCTCATGAGGACGTAAACTGATGAGACCGTCTTATAATGCAGGATATCGATACCAAAATACGACAATGGTCAAACGGGAAGGAAGGGAATATACGTTCGCTACTCTCAACTTTGCAATATGTGAGTCTGTTGTCTTATAAACTCTGTTGGTTGTCTTGCTTCATCAATTAGAACATTTCCTTCTGAATATTACATCGTAGTTCGTTCTTGAGGTCCATGCTCGATATTTTTCGATTTCTATAAACTGTTCTTGGTTGTGTGCATGCAAGGTTCTTTGGCCTAAGAGCGGATGGAAACCTGTTCCTCTCGTCGATATAATCGAAGGAAATGCAGTCAAAAGATCTTATCAGAAAGCTTTGTTATACCTACACCCTGATAAGCTACAACAGAAGGGTGCTTCAGCAGATCAAAAATATATTGCAGCAAAAGTTTTTGAAATATTGCAGGTATTCAAGTTCAATTCTACATACGATATTTAGAACCGTACACGAAATTCTTCTAGATATAGCTTGTGATTGGTTGGGTTGATTGTCTCGTCTTTTGAACGTCTTAAATGAGGGTAGGCATTGAAACCTTGAACATTTAGAATCGAGAGCTGTGCTTGGCTAGGATTTTTGAAGATTTGAACGTTTTAAATGAGGGTAGGTATTGAAACGTTTAACGTCTAAGATCGAGAGTTATGCTTGGTTGGGATTAATCTGGTTGTTGTTGTTATATATATATATATATATATATATATCTTAATCAAAGTGTTTGAATTCATGTAGGAGGCTTGGGCTCATTTCAATACACTGGGAGGATTATGATATGAAATCACAGCATTATAGGTGACACAAAGAAGTGTCCATATAAAGCCTTTTCAAATTGTCATTTACACTTGTATACATAAAAAAAATTAAAAAAAAATGATTAAAATATTTTCTTGTGGTAACAATTATACAATAATTCAAAGTATGGGCCTTTGCTTCATGGGCTTTGACATATATGAATTTGATGGGCTTGGCAGAAGCCCATTAAATTTTGAAGAAAAAGAAGTGTAAAAGATTTTTGGTGGAGGTAGCCGTTGGTTACTCACTGCCACTATTGATGGTTCTTTTTGTGGTTTTCTGGTGAGGGGTGAGGAACTTTTGGATTCTTTTCAAAACGGTCACCGAAGTTGGGGAATGGAATGGCCATATACAACGCGACACGTTCCTTTTTCCACGTCACCGACTGACTGTGACGCCTTGCCTAAGCTTCCCCCATTTTTACCCCTTCCACGTGTTTCGAAGTCACGACCTTTTCCATTTTTTTTTTCTTTTATTTTTTTTTTCATTAAATGTTGGATTTCCACTATTTAAATAATAAGTTGCGTCGTTCATTCGATTTTATTAGACAATGGTGCAATTGTAAATATAGATGGTAGGTAGTGGCAAACCGGTAAAAGTTCCTCGCCACGCGTGCACTGTTACCGGCTGTTGTAGGTATCCCGTCCAAATCCACGTTTAAATAACCTTTCAATAGTCGACCCGTTTCTTCGTCGTTCTCCGCCCACGGAGTCTCTGCTCTTTCTCTCGCCACGCCCTTCTGATCTTCACTGACAAACCCTAGGGCTTTCTTTTCCCTCTCAGTTTCAACAATCGCCGCATTTTCCTCTCTGTCTCGCCTTCAGATCGTACGGTTATTTTGTGTCTCGGGATAATTTGACGGTTGCCGATCTTGTTCCGTTTTGATCCACCGAATTCGATTCTGGAAGGAATTTGAGCTGACGGATATCTTTCTTGAGCAATGTCTGTGGCTACGAAGCTCCAATCGCATGCTGAACCGGTTTTGGAGTCCCGAGCAATTCTTGGACCGGGCGGGAACAGAGATAGGGCGCCTGAGAAGCCAAAATGCAAACAGGAGATCTTGAAGAGGACAGTGAAGCAGAATAAGGCGCTTCCGGTGGTTTCTGAATCGGTTGTTCGGGACAATATCTCCGTCGGGAGCTCCTGCTCTTCCGATTCTTTATCAAGCAACTATTCGGCCAAATTGTTGAATCTGAAAGCGAAGCCCAAGCCTGTGAAGACTGTCGCTGCCGGCGGTGACGCTAACGCAACCACAACGTCGCCTGGGCTCTTGGTTGCGGGGAAACGCTGTGATTGGATAACGCCTTATTCTGGTAAGCTTAAAACTCTTATTATCATTGAATATTACGTAGTTGAATTAATTAAATGGAATCTTCTGGTTGTTGAGAAAATGATGGATATGAGAAGGATAGGAACAAATAGAAATTTTCAATTCCGAACATAATAAATCTTTAGCTTAATTACAATAATCATTTTGTACCTTTATTGCATTATTTTGTATTTTAATGCAATTAGACATTTAATTAGAGGAGAACGTATGAGTACGGACAAATGAAACAAATTATAATTGAAATTATGCAGAATTAAAATGTCGGTATAGTATGTAATTGTAGTGTGCAATAATCAAAATTTAAGGTGATATCGTGACCAAAGTATTTATTGCGGCGTCTAAGTTGATGGGGGCTGATTGGACAACGACATTTAATTAGTGGTTTTTTATCATAATGTGCTAAATTAATTTTAAAAAATTACTTTATTTAAAGATTATTTATTTTTTTCTATGAAAAGTTTCAAAAATACTTAAAAAAAAATTAAATAAAACTTTCAAAATAGTCTTAATTTTTTTAAAAAATATTAAAAAACAGTGGGAGGTAAAAATATTTTGTTTTAAAATTATTCTTTTAACTTTAGTTTAAAATATATAATTGTACGTTTCGTACTTTTAAACTTTTTTTTAATTATTTTAAAAACAACTTCCAAACTTTTTTTTTAAAGTTAAAAAATGTATTTTACACGTTTTATAAATACTTATGAATTTTAAAAAATAACACTAATAATTTTAAATTGTTTGTAGATTATCTATGCCATAGATAGATGACTTTCTTTTGATTATTAATTTTACCTTTAAAATTTCACTATATTAGTTAAATAAGAAACTAACTTAAAAAGTATTTTTGAATTTTTTTATAAAAAAAATCAAAAGTATTTTTTGATATCCATTTCAGTGATATTTTTATTAATTAAGACTATATATTAATTTGTTTTTTTTTTTCTTTTTTTTGTGGAACGGATACTTCATAAAAGTTGTGTTCTGCCTCCGTTCATTTATATTCTGGGGACGTCGGTTTGTTTTTTTTTTTTTTTTTATAATTCCAATACACACAAATTAGAATTTAGATTACATACAATGTGTGGTGTTCTTTTTATTACATTTTTAAAATTATTAGGAGGAATTAAAAGTAATTACTATATGTGAGGCAATGTATTTCATAAAAATATCCCTTTCATTTTCGATTTTGAATCTCTTCATATCCTGTGATGTTTATGATGGTTTCTTGTAGACCCACTTTACATCGCTTTTCACGACGAAGAATGGGGAGTCCCAGTTCATGACGACAAGAAGCTGTTTGAGTTACTTGTATTATCACAAGCCTTAGCAGAGCTTACTTGGCCCTTGATCCTCAGCAAGAGACACATTTTCAGGTCTTCTTCTCTTTCTTTTACTTTCTTTCCCCGTTTCTATCACTTCGTTCTTCAAATTGGAATCTGGGTCGATATTGATGTGGATATTGATCGTTGCCCAAGCCCACCGTTAACATATATTGTCCTCCATTTGTAAAGAATGTTTCATTCTACTCTCAGACCAGTCCCATGGGGTGGATATTGATCGTTGACAGGGTGGAATCTGGGTGAATTTTAAATGGAATCTGGAGTGTGAAATGGATATTTTTGGTAACATGTTGATTACTTCTTTTTCATCTTTGCAGGAACGTGTTCAATGATTTTGACCCATCTTCCATCGCACAGTTCACAGAAGCTGAGTTTACGACACTAAAAGTAAATGCCACGCAGCTCCTGTCTGATCAAAAGCTTCGTGCAATCGTGGAGAACGCTAACCAAGTACTCAAGGTATATTGTGTTTTGCTTAAGCTTTATCTCTTCCCTGGCTCTATTGTTAAGCTAAATCCATCCATAACAATAGACACGTTTGGTTGTCTCAACTTCCATCCCTTTCCAAGTGGTTCAAAGCTGAATCTCTCTACGTTTTCATTGTCTTGTATCCCTTCACCTTCATAGATTCAACAGGAATTTGGTTCCTTCAGCAACTATTGTTGGAGCTTTGTTAACAAGAAGCCTATCCGAAACCGATATCGATATGGTCGTCAAGTACCGGTAAAGACACCTAAAGCGGAGTTCATGAGCAAGGATTTGATGAAGAGAGGATTCCGTTGCGTCGGGCCAACTGTGGTTTATTCCTTCTTGCAAGTTAGCGGAATTGTTAACGATCACTTGGTCGACTGCTTCAGGTATCAAGAGTGCGACGCAAGCGTCAAAGATGACATGAAATTAAGAGTAGAAAATCGGAGATCGGAGTTGCTTATTAGAGCTTTGGAGAAGTCTTCCTTGACGACCTGATCATAACGTGTTCAAAGACAACGGTTGGTTATCTCTAACTATAATCTTACAAATCACTGTTAATAAAATGGCTCTGAGTAGTTTGAGTTTAACTGCCTGTTTAGAATTTATAATTGCTTCTTTGTAGATGATGATGATGATGTATTAACGGACGACAAACATGTTGGTTTCTTGTAATTATATTTATCGCTCATTACCGAATGTTTACGTCAATTAGGTTTGGGCCTTGTGGCTAAAGTTAGCCCAAGTTAGCCCAGCAGAACTGCGACCTACCCTCTTGGTGGTGGCCCAACGATTTTTGGTTGCCACTCGGTTCGCATAGAAACTATTAATACTTTGTTTTAAAAATACTCTTTAATCGTGCACACTTTTAAGAGTATTTTTTAAATGAAATAGTAATGAATCTTTGAAGGTTAAAGAGTATTATTCAAATTTTAAAAATATTTTTTAAGACACGCAGAAAGGGCTATTTAAAAATTTTATTGAAAAAAAAAAGTAAATATATGTGTATGTTTATTATATTTGAGTGTTTAATCTAATAATATAAATAACATAAATTCGCATCAAATTCATTATCAACTAATTTTTATATCTATCAATGTTAAGCGATTGGATTTAAAAAAAAATATAATAAATAAATAATTGAAACTAATGAATATCACACCTAAACATTAAATCTATTCATATTAATATAATTATTTATAAAATTTATAGATTAAAAAAAATAGGATATTGGAAATTTGAAAGTGATTGAAATTGACAAGTCGAAGTGCTGCGGGAAGGGAAAGTGGATGACAGCAGGACGACACATTCGTCGGCTTTATACATTGGAGCGAGGGAAGCTTTTTTTATTTATTTATTTATTTCTTTATATTATCCCATCCAATCCAATCCACTGTCGTTTCAACAATCAACGGCCCATCATTTCTTATTCTGGCGGGAAATGATCCAACGGACAAAACCCGTCCCTTCTTTTCAACGTTGTTTGCGCGCCAACCAATTTCATTTAATAAACTGTTGTTTCTTTCTACCAATAGAAACCCAACACGTGTAATATTTATACGAAAATTAAAAATGCGAAAGAATACTTTTATTAAACAAAATTCAAAATTCAAATTGAGTTTTTTTTAAGGATTAAAATATATAATAAAACTATATTTAATGTATTTTCTTGTTGTTTTACCAAATCCCGGAAAAAGACAATATTTATTATTTATTTCTCTTCCCATAAATTATAGACAAATTAACATGCAAGAGCAGAGTACGGATTCTTAGGGGAAAATATGTTATAAAATAATTATGAGTATAATTGTATTAAACTTTAAAAATTAAAAATAACTATGAGTATAAAACAAAAATAGGAGAATGAAATAATTATGAGTTTTAATGTTTTTCTCTCCGTATGAACACATTAAAAAAAAAAAAGAATAAACAGAGAAAAAGTAAGCTAAAAAATAATGTAAATCTTTGGTAATAGTCAACGAAAATCTAATTGAGTACCCTTTATTATTTGTAATTAGGTTACAAACACATTATTATGAATTTGAAAGTGGGTCCCACAATTGATATCCGCTACCCATAATCTCTAATAATCGAGTGCAAATTCCTCTCCATTGATTATTAAAAAGAGAAAAGACTGAAGAAAATAATCTTACTTTTGATTTTTCAAAAAGCCATGTAAAATTTGAAATAATGTTCTTTATTTAATTTATTATTGTCCGACTCGAACATAATTACAGTTAAGGATAACATCGTCCAAAAAAACCGTACAAATTTAGTGGGTTCGAATGTAATTTCACACACTCATTTTCGGTTGACTCGTGTTTCATTCTCTTAACTAATCTCACTATTTCATAAACTCCAACATTCATTTAATTAAATTAAATTAATATTAATTTCGGAATCTTAAAACAACATTTCCATTAAGTCCATGTCCGTGTCCTCCGACATTGAACTATCATCCAGGGGTATTATCGTCATTTCAGTCTCCTGTCGCCTTGCCTGCCACATTTCCAGTATTTGAATAGAAACCGCTAGCGGTTTTCATTCCGTGCCGAGTTTTTTACAACAACTGTAATTACCAAACAGTTTTTCCTTTTTCATAAAAAGAAAATAGATTATTTATTTATTTATTATTAGTACAAATATATATAAATATAAAAATAAATATATATATATATATTTATTTATTTATTTATTTATTCGATGGCTTTATTGTACTTTTATTCAAAAAGAAATTTAGGGGAAGGAGATATTTATAGTTGAAAGGCGGGATGAACAAAAATAATAATAAAGATGATTTTTGGTAAAAAAAAAAAGATAATTTTACGTGGCGGCTTGTAATTGGTTGCTTTAACGTCGTCGGGATTCGTATTAATACAAACCAATTAATAATTCGCCTCAGTCTCATTTCTCTATCTCACATAAAACACAGCGTCTCTCTCTCTCTCTCTCTTCTTTCTCTCTCTACTCTACTCTGTGTTTGTTGTCGACGAAAATTCCCAAATTTCTCAGCTATTTCGCTGTCTCTTGCCGCTGAAATTCCCGAAAACATGCTCCAAACTGCATGATTTTTCTGCATCGAGTAATATCTAGTCTCTTCTGCTCTTGAATTTCGCTCTATTTGCCCGAATTCATTGCCAACGGTTTTCGGAATGCTTGAAGCAGTGGAAAGCTCCGTTAATGGCGGCTTCTCGCAGCTGCAAAGCAGTGGCGATAGTAGTGAAGAGGAGCTTTCTGTTCTTCCTCGTCATACGAAAGTGGTCGTCACTGGAAACAACCGCACCAAATCGGTGCTCGTTGGACTTCAAGGCGTTGTTAAGAAGGCTGTTGGTTTGGGCGGATGGCATTGGCTGGTACGTCGCTTTGTTAAATTGGGCTGTTTCTGGGAATGAGCTTAGGGTACAATGAGTCGTGATTTGATCAATTTTGAGTATCAATGTGGTTTTCCCCAATTCCATGTTCTGTTTCTTCGCAGTTTTTTAATCCATTTTATCACGATTTCTGGTTGTTTATTGCATCCATTTCTGAGTTTTGAATATGCTTCAGAATAGGTTTCGAATCTGAGCTTTGAGCTAAGAATTGCATGGTCAGTTTGATCTATGGATCTGGTGATTAGTGATGCGGATTCATTTCAAAATGTAAAAATCGATTTTATGCAATTAGGGATAATCTGGTGATTAGTCTGGCTGTTGCATTGACTTCAGAACAATGGGATTGTTCTTTTGATATCTGCAGGTCACCATGATTATCTTGATATTCTAGGTTTAGCATTTAATCTTGAAATTAAAAACCCTCAGGTTCTCACAAATGGCATTGAAGTTAAGCTACAGAGAAATGCCCTCAGTGTAATCGAAGCCCCAACTGGCAATGAGGACGACGATGATCTCGAATTCGAAAACATGCAATGGAATGGATCGGATATGGGTGAGTTTAGAATCTTTTCAATTCTTATTCATTGGACTGAAGAACAACATTGAACTGTCGATTCTTTAAATGGATTAGATCAGTTAATTCGATAAGCTGGCCTCGATTAAACATAGAAAGAAGGTACAAAGAGAGCTATTTGTTTGCACTCTCCGTTCAATTCTTATTAGGAATTCATCATTAAAACACTTGCTTGTTTCGAGTGATTGTTTCATTGGCCCACTGTAGTTGTTGTGGAATGATATGCTTTTTAGGAACAGTGGTTGAGTTTGGTACTCTTTGGATTCTTTGCTCATTCAACTTTTACTTTCTTCTAAACCTTGTTGTGGCATTTATTCTCTCTTCTGGACCCTCCTCTTCCTTTTTTCATTATGCTTTTGGTATTTTCATTTCCCAGCATCTGATGATACTTTGAAGTCCCATAGACTGAGATATAGGACACACAAATCGTCGGGATCATCACACAAAACTATCAGCCGATCCTTCTCATATGAATCGCAGTCCAAGGGGTCTATTTCGACCCCTCGTGGGTCCATGGTACTTGAGAAACAGACAGACTCTTTTGTTTCATTTGTTGAAGTGAGATATAATTAGGCTCATAATCTAATGAGTTGGATCTTTATTGACGTTCTTGTACAGAAGGTCGACCTCGGTAAACTGGAAATGTCTGCTCTATGGAGATATTGGCGACACTTCAATCTCGTAAGTTACCGTTTATTCGATAAATGTGAGCATATTTTGGGCACATGTCCGTTAAACTGCAAGATTTTACCACCATGATCGAGAGAACTCTATATCGTCTAGGTTGATGCTTTTCCTAACCCATCGAAGGAGCAGTTGGTGGATGTCGTTCAAAGGCATTTCATGTCACAGGTAATCAATTTTCTCGGTTTAGCCATTCGAAAAATACATCAGCTATGTTGTAAACTACATGACATGACTTTTTTGTTTGTTCACTTCACTCGTGCAGCAACTAGATGAGTTGCAGGTGATTGTCGGGTTCGTCCATGCTGCAAAGAGACTCAAAACCGTTTGCAAATGACCGAGTAATGACTGTAACACCAGGCTCATTCATCCATTTCTAACAAAAACACCGGTACCAAAATTCCCACTTCCCTGCTACATTGATGGTTCTCTGTAATATAAGAATCCTGGCTTGTTTTTGAGGTATTCATTGCCCGTTTGTTCGTGTAATTATGGTAGATAAATATAGGATATATAATATATATATAAAATGTACGTATAGGCTAGCAGACCTTCTAAAACTGACAAGTCCTTGGTGACTTTGTTTTCCTAAACCTTGATTGAATGCTGACTTGGGAGAGTGGGTATCTTGAAATGAATGTGTACATTCCTTTAATTCTCTATTTTTTTTGTCGTATCATAATCGCGCTCTTGTGAGATGTTTGTAAGTGATTGTGCTACACTCACCTCCGAGTGAGTCAGCCAACTTGAAATTGTGTTGCCTTTAGCCCGGTGACGTATACCCAAACATCTTGACTAGTGTAGCCATCAACGTCTCCAAACATCTTGACTAGTGTAGCGATCAACGTCTTGGATGTGAGAATTAAAGTCAAAAGATCTTTAGAATCAAAGCGGGGTCCTCTCACGTTTTGCTGTCCTTCCTCCTCCAAACGCTCTTTTCTTTTCATTTAATACAATCTGCTAAAGTCCCCACGCCCCTCCCACCAATCTAGGAAACCTACTACTTTATTGCTATATCATTATTGGACGATATATTAATTACTTTTTATGTATTTTAATTTTACAAGATTTTACTGCTCGGTAACTTTTCTACCGATAAAAACTTGGGATTTAAATATTTTTAATATGACTTCGTATTACAGGTTTTGTTGAAAGGATTTAAAATATTAAATAAAATTATTGACGAACGTCATGACGCTTTGGTTGAAGTCTCATTGTCGGCAATTGAATGGAAAATATCTTCGACCTTTTTCCTTATATTTTTTAAGAATTTTAAATCGTTTTCCCGCCTCAATTCCTCGTGAGTGGAAAATAAAGCGTGTCGGTGCTTTTGAGGATTAGTGGGCCCTTGGATACCTTTTTGTCATGGGCTTCATTTTGTAGGCCCACAGCCCAATAACAACCAAACTTAACACATGGCCCAATGATAGTGAATCTTGGGCTCCTTTATTCTAGCAGGCCCGAATACGTCTATCATATAAAAGATTGGGCCCATTTAGAGATGCAGACAGGGCCCAAGCACTCAAAATATAAATATTATTTTCTCTTTTATTTTATTTTTACTTTTATATTTGAAGATATTTAACTCGTTTTAGTAAAAAATAATAATAATAATAATTGATTTAAGGAAATTAAAACTATTTTTATATTTGGTCCATACCTTTTAAAATTAATAATTTTAGTTGAAATTTAATGTTTCATCAAAATAATCAAATTTTATTTAATGTTTCATCAAAATAATCAAATTTTAAAAAGCGAATTTAAATATTATATACTAAATGACATTCAAAAATCAATAAAAAATAATAATAATAAAGTCTTAATATTGTGTGGTGTATTTTAATTGATAATAATTTTGGCACGACATTTGGCAAATTGTTCCATGACTGAATATCAAGAAAGATGTGGATGTGATCAAACGACGTCATTCCACATTCCACAATGTTGGGATTTCTTTATGTTCATTTGTTTCCCACTTTCTAAACAGTGAAAAAAAGCCAAGTTTCAAAATACTCCAATCCAAACATTTTCATTATAAATTATTTTCAATCTAAAGTTAAGTTATAAGAAAAAATCATTAAAATAATGGATGAAAAATCAATCGATATGAATGACATTTGTCGTTTTAAGTCACGTCAGATATTTGTTCATTTTAAAACATTTATTAAATTTTGTAGATAATATTATCAATCAAATATATGCTTATTAGACTGTATGTATTAACGAGCAAAAATCACTAATATATAATTAGAGCTTATTGCCGATAAAGAATCAATTTTGATCGTTGGTGACATGATTAATGTGCTATTATATTTTTTATATATAATTTAAAATTTATTTCATTTAATTTAATGTTCAATTATTGTAGGTTGACTATTTTTTAATGGGAAAATGTAGTTGTTTCTGACACAAGGAAGCATTGTATGAGAAATTTGTCTCAAAACGCCCACTCACAAAACACATTCTCTCTCTCCATATATTTATATTGGATTTATTTTTATTTTCCCTAAATTTCAAATTTACAGTAATTAGAGATAAACAAAAGGGGCAAAAACGTAATATTATGTTCGATTAGGTTGGACAATGACAAAAGCTGAAAATATTGATAAATTCTTGTGGTTCTTATTTGTATTTGCTGCACCGATTTTTGTAGTAATATAAAACAATTTATTTTTAATTTATAAAACGCCAAATTAAATGCTGGCAATTCATTAAATTATTCAATTTTTCTTTTTTCTTAAAGAATTGGATAAAGGGATGCATCAACCATGATTAAATGTGGTGAGAAATTCATATTGTTTGGTACCAAAAAATAAAAATAAAAAAACTATTTTATATGTAAAAATTATTGTTGTTATTATTATTATTATTAAAGATGTGATAATTGAAAACAAGACGTCACCAAACAACAAATTCAGGAACCAATAAAATCGTGTTTTTAATGAATTGACAAAAAAACAAAAAAATATATATTATAAATATTTTATTCAAGGCTCACATCCCACCGTCCGTACGATATTATTTTTATTTAAATAATAATTTTAAGATATTTTTGCTTTGTTAGATATATTTTTAAGGTGTCTAATTGAATCGAAATTTTGAGAAGATTTATTTGAAATAACATAGAAATTTTTTATAAATTAGGTTAAATATTATATTATAAAATTTTAATCCAATTCATTCAACTTTTATATATATATATATAGATATAATATAAATAAAGGAAATAAAATAGGAAGTGGACATCGTCAGAAGAACAAAGCATGGGAATTGTGGCAAAGAATGGCATCTACTTGGCTATCATATTCCTCAGTGGGCTTACGTTCATTCGCTTTAATTAAATTACCCTAACACACCCATCATTCATTATTTCCTCAAACTCACTAATCCTTTCCTTCTTTTTTATTAAATAAATAAATTAGTGTCTAGATATTAAGTATGACGGACGTGACAATAATGTGATTCTACACATCATTTTTTTTCATTTTTTATGTTTTCATCAAAGCCACCCAACTTATAGAAATCATTAATTTTATTTATTTTTAAAACCCTAATATTTAAAAATAAGTCTGATCTTTATTTATTGGAATGATAGTAGAAAACATAAGCGTATTAATTAAATTAATTATTTTTATCAATTATCGAAATTAATACTAAAGACCAAGAAAAACACGTAACATTTTTTAAATTAAATGATTGTTTTTTTTTTTTTAATTAACATGGAAAATTGGGGATGAGTATTTCTGGCTAAACCAAAACCGACGACTGACGTGCTCCACAATATAGCCTATTGGATTCCCACTCACCACTTTATTTACCGAAACGCCCTTCTAATTAACGCCGTCCCGTCGCTCTCTTCAAGCCCGACACGGCGGCTTATTTTAACGGACTCTAACGTTCGTTTACAAGCGGAGCCATCTTTTTCGACGTCTGACCTGACGGAACCAAAACGTGCACTTAACAAATGGACGTTGAAAATTTAAAAGATTTCCGTTGAAGAAGGCTCACGAATTCATGCCTTTTTTCTCCTTTTTCCATAAGCAATTGTTGGAAGCAAAAAAAAAAAAAAAAAAAAAAAACCCATATTTTAAAAATAAATTAAAATAAAACAATTTATTAGATATGCAATTAAGGGTTGGAATTTGGTGCAACAAGCATATTTCCTCTCCCTTTTTTTTTTCTTTTTCTTTTAGAAAATTATTTCTTAATTTTTAAAAAATAAATAATAAAACGGGGGAAAAGACAGAGTAGGGTGATGGAATGGATAAAAGAGACGTGGCAGCGAGAATGAAAATAATAAAATAAAATGGCATATACGTGAATATTAATTATTTAGGATGGAGGGGAATCCATGCGGAAATCACGTGAGGGATAATGGGAGAAATAGATATTCCACTAGCATCATTATTAATATTAATGAATAATACATTGGAATCCGAGGAGGGAAATTGGTAAAGTAAAATTGTCCCAATAATAATCCCCATCGCTCCCAGTTGTTGGGATTCTATTTTGAGCTCATGCTCCACTGCCCATAATGCTTAGTAGTTGAGTTCAGAATTGATTTGCCATCAAATTACAATGCCTACGTATATACCTTATTTGGATTTTGATTTCGATTTCGGAATTGGAATTTAAAAGGTATCAAAAAAAAGCATCGAGTCGTGAGGTACAAGTAAAGCAATAACAAAACCCTCCGTTTAAAACCCTCTTGTCGTATGGATGTTCGTCCACCCTTTCTGCTCCAATGTGATGGACCACATGGACCACTCTCTCTATAAATAAGAATATATGGGACTTCTCCTCCTCCTTTGGTACGATGTTATCTATTTTAAGTATAAGGTTTTGTGAGTTTGTTTGTTTGTTTTTTTTTTTTTTTTTTTTTTTTGCATTTTTCAAAAGTTTTGGTTTTACTCCAATCCAGATAGTGTCCTTAATTTGTATACCTACGATCTTCCATTTAATTAGTCAATGTGGGGCTCAAACAATCCTTGATTAGAAGTGGTCGGGAATGACTTCCCATAATAAATATGGTTAGCATTCTTTTTCCAAACCAAATCGAATCCAAAAGAAAGAAAAAATCTTCTATATTAAAATTAATGTTTATATTTTAATCAACTTTTCTAACTAAATTCTAATTTAATTTTAAATTTTTTTGAACCTTACTTAATTACCCTACTAAATTATTTCAATTAATTTCAAATGGATCATAAAATAATTTAGACTTTAGTTTTATAATTTAAAATATTTGATTCTAATAACTTAAATGAATCTCACCGATGGTTACTGGTATTACACGTTGTTACTCTATTAAAAATAGATGACATTGGACTAGTGTTGTTATTTGATAGTATTATAATTCAAAATTTATTTGTTTTTAAATTTGAAGGCGAGAAAAAATAATAATGAAAATCAATGGGATTTTTGACCAATTGAAAATAAATCAAAGGAGTAGAATGGTCATTTAACGAAATAAGAAATTAACAATTAATGTAATAATTAGATTTAATTAATTTAAGAGTTTTGAAATCGATTGGGTGCTGACGTAAGTTGAGGATAAAATGAAAGAAACGAACCAATGCCGAGGCGGGACCCACGCGAGTTACTGGCTTTTACAGGAAGGTTAGACCACCTATTTAAACCAATTCTCCAATCTCTTCCTTTCAAACTCAATCATCCAAACACTGCCCTAAGTTTACGCTTCGATTTCCCTTCCCCCGATTTTCCCCCTCTGCTCCGTCAATGGCGCTCCGGAGATCCATTTCCAAGCGCTTTCTTGATGGTTTCAGAACTAATTCTTCTCCATCGCCTATCAATTTGACCTCCCGCCGCGAATACATTTCTCCTCCTCCCGATTCCGCCGGGAAGTCCGTTTTCAGGCGCTTTCTTCAGAGGAGAGCGATCTATCATTCTCCTTCCGCTGCTCGGATCCCCGAGTTGTTGACTCTTCCATTAGGCGATGATCTCAGAGAGAAACTCGGAGGTCGCAACATTAGTGCCGATCGAATCCGCCTCGACGGCCTCATTCCTCCGTCGTCGTTCGATAATGAACGCTCTGTTTCTGGATGTGGTATCTCGATCGACGATGCTAGGAAGATCATTAGGCTATCGCAGGTCGAAAAACTAAAGGCGAAATTGAGAAATATTCAGAAGAGTTCGATCTCGTACTCCGAGTTCTTTCGGATCTGTGTTGAAGATTGTGGGAATAAGGATCAGGGCGCCGAATTCGCCAAGTTGTTGGATGAATCTGGAAGCGTCATTGTCATTGGAAATATCGTGTTCCTCCGGCCGGATCAGGTAAAATTATAAGTGCGATTCGGTGAAGATTTACAGATTAAAAAAAAACTGACCGAATCCATCCCTTACGGAGATCCGATTTAAGCGGACGATGACGATGAACAGTGTTGCATGAATATACAGAGTCAAAATCATCACAAATTTGGAAACATGTTTAAAGTGGTTGAAATTTTGGGACAAAATCGTGACATATTCAACGAATAGTTAATTAATTAAACAAAAAATTAAAAAAGTTAACAAAGAAAAAGAAAAATGATGAAATCCTTCTGTAATTGACGAGTTTGAAATATTTACAGGTGGCTAAATCAATGGAAACGATGATATCTGGATCAATAGCGAGACCAGACGACCCAAGGTTGAAACAACTAGCCCAAATGGAGAGGCAAAAGGAAATAATCGACAAAAAGGCCAAGGCCCAGGTTCAAGGCGAGCTGTTTTGTGGATTGGGCCTTCTCGTGGCCCAAACATTGGGCTGCATGAGGCTCACTTTCTGGGAGCTAAGTTGGGACGTAATGGAGCCCATTTGCTTCTTCGTTACGTCCCTTCACTTTGCCCTTGCCTATGCCTTCTTCCTTACAACCTCCACAGAGCCCACTTTTGAAGGCATATTCCGACGTCGTTTTAAGGCAAAGCAAAAGAAACTCATGGCCTCTCAGAATTTCGACATCAAAAACTTCAATGAGCTGAAGAGAATTTGCTATCCAAGCTACCCAACTCAAGAAGAATCCTTGTTTTCCAATGCCCATACTCTATCATAAGACTTTTTTGTAAATTTAATAATTCCATTTTTTTTTCTCTTCTAAAATCGGAGCTTTAGGACTCAGCTTTTTTTTTTTTTTTTTTTTTTTTTTTTTTAGCGTCTTAGATCTAAATCGGCTTTGGACATGATACATCGATTCATATCATGGATTGTATAGGACCGTGCAAAAAAAATATATATGAAGACGAGATTGTAATTTTCTTTTCATTTTTTTTAGATGGAGACTTAAATATGATTTAAACTTCTAATAATACTTTTTAATTTATAAAAAATTTAACATCAAACTAAAATAAAATTGTTTTAAGAAGAATAACTCAAATCTAAAATTACAAATATTAATAAAATGGAAAATAAAGAGTGAAATATGCGGAACATGGAAAAAAAACGTATTATTTTCAACAATTATAAATTAAAAAAAAAAAGAAAAAAAAGAAGAGGAAAATGTTAAAATTAGGTTCAAGACAGTATGAAATAAGAACAAAACAAATTCAATTTATGAAAAGAAAACAAATTTTTTTTCAAAGGTATGAATGAATGGTAGAAAATTATAGAAAATATAAGATGCGACAGAAAGTACGGACATACAAAGTCGAGGCGTTTCCGCTGTTGCGGTCTACTCGCCAGGCTGCCTGTCGGTGCACACCGAACCTTCCTCCTCAATTTTCAAATATCTTTATTTCAATAAGTATTTCTAAAAGATAAAAATTATATTTTATGGCAAATGCATTTCTATTTAATAAATCAATTACTTTATACCAAACACATTTTAAATATGAAGTTAGCTTTTAAGTGTTTTAATTTTATATTAAATAGATTTCTAAACTTAATTTTGGTTTGTTATAAAGAAAATAAATAAAATTTAGGTTTTTAAGATGTGTAATAAACACAACAATCGAAAAGGGTTTGGTGTTTTTAAGACTCATAATAATAAAAGGAAAACACACCCAAACCAAACGTAGCCTCCAAGCATGCAACCTCTTTACTTTTCCCGGAAAATGATTTCTCAACTCATGAAAGAACTTTCTCACCCAAACACCATTTTTTATATTCAATTTCTGGCCCTCCTTAAAACACATTAGCTTTGAACTATGCTCAAATTGGTATTTAAATATTTATTTAAATAAATAGAGTTTTATTTAAACATTTAGTCAAATTAAAAAATGATTTTTATTTTTTATTTTTTCTGTAAGAATTAATAAAATAAATAAAACGTGTTGAAAGGTACATGAACCCCGGTCTGAAGGTACAGCTACGGATCTCCTCCTTCAGTCTCCATTTTCACTCCCATTTTATAATTCCCTCTCCTATTTCCCTTTTTCCCATCCCTAAATAATTCCCATTTTCTCCTCCGCACCGCCGTCATGCGCTCCGCCCTCCTCCTCCTCGCCGTCTGCGCCGCCTCCCATGCCGCAACATTCAGAGAAGCCCCCCAATTTTTCAATTCCCCGGACTGCCCTTCCCAGGCCGATGATCTGGAGAAACACAATGAGGACGGACAACACCATTGCTTCAATCATGCCGTCCATGTGGCGATGACGTTGGACACCGCTTACATACGTGGCTCCATGGCCGCCGTCCTTTCCGTCCTTCAACACTCCTCCTGTCCTCAAAGCGTAATTTTCCACTTCGTCTATTCCGCATCCGCCAACGCGTCATCTCTTCACGCCACCGTCTCCCATTCATTCCCTTACCTCAAATTCCAACTCTACCCTTTCGACGACGAAGCGGCCTCGCGATTGATTTCCATGTCAATCCGATCCGCGTTGGACTGTCCGTTGAACTACGCGCGTAGCTACTTAGCCAACCTCCTTCCCACTTGCGTTGCTCGAGTCGTGTACCTTGACTCGGACCTGATCCTAGTCGACGACATTGCCAAACTCGCCGCCCATTGTTGGTTTTCACAGAATTTAGAGGAAATTCAGAAAATGCGTAACAAAAAGGAGAGAGAAAAAAATAACTCTGAATTTGACTGCGTTGAGGTTGTTTTGTTTTCTGAACAATTCTCCTATTTAAA